TTATGCCTCCACGCCCTCAATACGCCTTCTCGTCTTACTGCCTACACACTCGATTGCTGGACAGACTATAAAAATAAATCAGTTTTGTCGCCTGCCACGTCTGAGGGACGAAATTAAAATTAATTAATTAATTCGTTGTTTTATTATTAATTTATTTTTATTGAGAAGGTGGTTACCTTATCGACTTTGCCTATCGGCCACTTCGCGCATATTTTCTCTCTCTCCATCCATCTCTCTCGCACACCGCGCCTCACGTCACGGAGTTTACGAGACAATTTCTCGAACCCGGTGCTGCCCGTTCACATTCTACCCCACTTGTATCACTCCGCGGCTACTTTGATAGTATGAGAAAATATTATGAAATATCTCAACCCTCAACAAGCCAGGCCATATTGTTTACTGAAGCACTTTGTATGCGAGGTTGTCTGTAATTAACAAAATTCCAGTCCCAGTGCCTATAAATATAAAATCATCGAATCTTCATAAAATCCCACATTTTTAATTCATTCTCTGTCTTGGAGTCTATAAGACGTTTTCGTAATTTTATCGTGACCTTGGTTTCACCCACACAGCGAACTGACTGTCTCGATCAGAGTTCTTAACAAACTAAAACACACCCCCTCGGCCACAGAGACTTCTCGAAACGAAACTTTGTCGTATGATTCCTTGGTTTTAAGTATGTAGGTTGTTGTCTGTCCCAGATGTGTGTGGTTTCGTAGCCCGGCTAAGGAAATACGACATTTATTGAACTCGGTTAATACAAACGTTTTCTACGCTGTTCTGATGCGTTGAGAAGGTTTTTAAGGGACATCTGGCATTTACTGAGTCGGTCAGCGTGTTGTTCGCTTTTACGAAACGAGAAAGTTCATCGGACAGTTCACTAAACTTGCCTGTGGACTCTGTCTTAAGCATTTAAACCCAGTACGCTCATATGAAGGAATTGGAAGGTCATTGTGTTTCAAGTCCACCTGCTCCCGATATGAGTCACGTCAGATCTGTGTTGTGTGACAGACTTCGGGCTCTGTATACGGAATTTTCAGTGGAAAGAAGCAAGTTTACAACAGCATTTGTTAAGGTCGAAGCTCGTTAGCTTTCTCAATGCTCTGCTTAGTTCATAGTTCTGGATTTGTTTAGCGTTTATATTATGTGAGAAAAATACAATGCTTTGAACATTAAATAAATAGGCCTGGAGGCCATTATGCAAATTAATATGCATAGGAATTAAGAAAACGAAAGCAGCTTTCAGTTGAGTGATACACATTTTATCATTTTATAGTAATCCATGAATACTAATAAGATTTACCAGCCAAGCGGCCTTTCATTCAAGGCATATTTAATATAACCGATTAATTTTTAATAATATTCCATGCATCGTGAACGTGATAATTATAAGATTCAAACCAAAACACCAAACATAATGAGGTTTAAGTTTCTGAAGAAGGCTCTCTGGTGCGATGTCGAATAGCGTTGAACTGACCGAGTTTCAGAGGTTTTTGTTGCCTGTATCATGACCCTGATAATGTAGGCAGTTAACGCCTCCGAAACGTCCGTATATATCTGCCGACTACACGAAACGAAATGCGAGAAGACAGTTTTTTTTCAACAAGAATAATAATTCCATGACGAAGAATAATTCTTGAGAATTTGATCGTAGCTCAGCTGTCTCTAGTATATCCCCGGAATGTACGTGTTTTGTTGTCATGGTAATTATATAATCATTTACATCATGGGCCGCCATCTTAGATGTCTTGCTCTGTGCCCCATTGGATGACTTCGTGCGCAAGTTCATTCGGTTTCTTATGGCTGGAGCTGGGACCTCGTTGGCCAATGGTGCGCCGGCGGCCATGTTGTGTCGGGAGAACTAGTAACGCCCAGCGTTAAAAGGGGGCACTGTGGGATGGGGCACGGTCAGTGGCGTTACATCTATACATCACACGTTAAAACCCAGGTCCGTGCGACACCACACTTTTCTCGTGTCACTCCTTTACTGATACATAAGCAATGCCTTTAAAACAACTGCCAACTTTCTTACTTCATGGAGCCGAGTCCTTCCTGAGAAGCCAGCAGTCGCTTAGCCACTCAATATTTTATGGAACCCGAAGGTTCATCACCGTGTTCACATCATGGACTTTATTTCTATTTGTTATTGTTGTTACCAGATAAATAATTTTTTTAGACATTTTCAAATGTTGTATTACTTATAATTATATTTCCGCCGTAGTTGATTCCGTAAAACGTCCATTTCCTTCTAGGCCTATTTCCTTGTTAGCCTGTAGGAGGGTTTCTGAATTCTTGGTTATGTTACCCGCTCCATTCTCCAGCAAATTTGACGTCATCAGCACAGGAAACTAATTGGTGCAGACCATTCAATTCGAGCCCTTCCTGATTCCCTCTCACATTCATAATGACTAGGGTTCGTATGTTCATGACCTCAAAAACCGAGAAATATGCATGCAAATATGACCCCAAAAAAGGCAAAATATAACCTAATTTGTTATGAAAAAATATTCGCTAAAAATTTAAAAAATGCGTTTTTGTATTTCAATCATGTTATTTATTTACATATGCATGTACAAATATTACATTACTTGATTTCCTAACAGTTTTAATCAAAAACCTCAGTCGCTTTAAGTTGTAAATGCCTCGTTTTGGATCAGCATCAGATGTTGAGAAAACGTGCTCCTACAAAAATAAGAAAATATTTTACGAAAGATTTTGGTGAAGTTTTTAAAACGCAACTAACCCCACTTCGGGGGGGTTAGTTTAGTGTCGTACTCAAATCATTTTTCAAGTCATTTGTTTACTCGGCATTGTTGTGTTGGTACAACAATGCCGAGTGAACAAATATAACGTGACATTGTTTAATGACGTCATTTGTTTTTTACGACGACTACAAATCACAAATTTTTATAGTTAGATAGAAAATTACACCACAAAGACAGACAGAGCTGAATATCTATTCATTTCATGAAAACATGCAAAGATTACTTAACAATGGTATATCCCTTAGATTTGTTTACATTGTTGCGGATCATTTGTTGGTGTGATTACGTAACAATGGCTGGGATTTTGGTTCGTCGCCGTGGTTATTCTGTTATAATACGAACTTCTGAGTTGTTGTGTGGTGAGTCGTAATATTAGCTGGTGGGAAAGTTTTGGTGTGTTTTAAGATAGACAACTTCTTTTCAATGCACGAAACTCCAAGGAATCAGCTTAATAAACCAAAGACTGAAATAAATGTAAGAGATAGAATCAAGTGGTTTCGAAGGAGATGTCGGAGATTCTGCTGCTTGGTGGAAGACGTGAGTATCTCCCACTGAACTCATTTTATGAACTGTGTGTTCCTATAATAATTCTGAAAGCAGCTTATAAGAGAAAAAACAAATTTATTTGGCACAAAACTGTAGTTAAATGTCTGTAGGATGCGATAAAATGAAGTTTATGTAAACGTGATGAACAATTATAAGGAGATATTGCGTAATACGGAATTATTTTTTCTTTGTACGGAGATGAAAAATACGCAGAACTTTAGTCTGGGAACTACTTGTAAAGACCTTGGCGTAGATGATAAAATAATATTAAAATGGATCTTGAACAAACGATGTGTAGATTGGATTCAATTTTTTCAGAACAAGGTTAAGAGACGCGACGCTGGCCTTGTAATCCTGGGGGTCTCGGGTTCGATTCCCGGCGGGGCCTGAATTTATAACTTGTGTTGGGCAAGGCCGTGGTCTAGGCAACACGAAGTTTTCCTCCGTGGCATCCCAACAATTACTCCATTCACACACAGAAGAAGGCAATGGCAAACCACTTCTGGATCATCTGCCAAGAACGTATATGAACAGGTCCCAGTCCGAGAAAAGGATGGAAGGATCCTGTTCATATGGACCTGTCGTCAGACAGAACACTAAATAATAATAAGATGAGGTGGTCTAGCGGTTAGAACGCTGACCTTGTAATCCTGGGGTCTCGGGTTCGATTCCCGGCGGGGCCTGAATTTATAACTTGTGTTGGGCAAGGCCGTGGTCTAGGCAACACGAAGTTTTCCTCCGTGGCATCCCAACAATTACTCCATTCACACACAGAAGAAGGCAATGGCAAACCACTTCTGGATCATCTGCCAAGAACGTATATGAACAGGTCCCAGTCCGAGAAAAGGATGGAAGGATCCTGTTCATATGGACCTGTCGTCAGACAGAACACTAAATAATAATAAATAAATCGTAGAATCCACCGACAGTACATCGTTACAAATGTTTCATAACAGCAGGCCTCTTTTTTTAAAACAACATACAATTAATTCGGCTTTTCCTTTAGAAAAGTTTTATTCTAGGCCGTTTTGAGAATTTGCGATTTTCCGCGTCGTAATTGGAGTCTCTGGTCTACTTTCTCGCGAGTTTCTGATGTGTCAGGTGGCCATAGGTTATTTTGACTTCTAAGTTCGTCTGCACGTTCCGTAATATTTTCCTTACGTCTCTCGCATTTTTTATCTAATTTCTTTATGTTCTTTGTTTACCCCTTAATCACACTGCGGGCTTAAAAACAATTAAGATTTTTATAAAATCGATACAGCGCGATTGAGTAGATCTATAAAAGTCAGACTTCGACAGTGGAATTGTTGTCTTGTTGGGAACACACGGGGGGAATTTAATAAACCAGTCCATTTCCCACAGACAATTTTTCATTCTTTAAGCATTCAATTCTTTTTCTTTTCCAGGATTTAAGTAAAACCGAAAACAAATCAGATTATAGGTAAGTGATCTGCGCTGTGCTAATAGACAGACTCTTATTTTAAATTACATAAGTTTCATCAACTGTTTAGGCTATTGGCTTTATTTATCTAGCGAGTGATAGGCGCCTTTCGGAACTACCTGCTTCATTTCTTCAAGAATTACATATTAGATGTTTACCTCAGGAGCGCGTTGAGAAAGGTCAGTGAAGTCGGCCACGACCACTTCCCCCCGACTCATCTCGTAATACAATTGACGAAGTCAAAGCTGGTCGTATAAAATCAATAATTACATACTTTCTTATTATTTTTCTCTATTTAACACTTAAATACACGATAATCCAAGACGTCCTTAAAAATATTAGCACAGGGGTGTCCAAAAAACATATACCAGCGTCCAAAAAAAATAGCCGATACAAAACACATATTTTCTTTTTAGAAATGGAGTAACTTATTTCTCACTTATATTAAAAAATTATAGGCGCAGGGTTATACAAAATATTGAATGACGTGCGATTAAAGCGGGGGGGGGGGAGACATGAAACTGCCCCTTCTTGAAAATCTAACTCTTTTGACTGCAGGTTAGCAACATTAAACAACATTATGGAAGACAAGGTTGGGTACGTCAAGACTGAGGAAGGCATTAAGGACGTCGAAACCTGCGAACCACCTCAAGATATAAAACAGCAAGAGGTAATCGAGGAGCAGGCAGGCAACTCCAACGATGGAAAATCCCTGGATGAAGAATGTGGTGATCTGAGATCCGTAAGGGATTTTCTGCAGACGAGGGTGAAGGAGTTGGAGACACAATTTCAGCTTGCTGAAGAAACAAAAGATGAGATTTGCGTTTATTTGGAAGAGCAATTGTACAGTCTAGACACTAAAATTCGTTCTC